AAACAATTTGCTACCGATTGGTGATAAAATTTTTTGGAAATAATGAAATAGGGGGGATAACGCCTTTTTTTCAGGGGTGATTTTTCAAAAATTTATTTTAAAAAAAGTACTAACTAGCAAATGTTTTTTATTAGCTCGCAATTTTCTTCAAAACTACTTCAATGAGGAAAAAAATAAAAATTTGGAATATCTATACATGAGGGGCTAATTGATCGGATCTAATACATCCGTAAGGATATCCAAGAACTTTCACTATTTTTTTCTCCAGTGAAATGCTTTTCTACTTTTGTAGACGAAAATTAGAGCTTTCATTTGAGCCCCATTTCACCCTAAGGTTCCAGATATTTTACAATGATTTTATTAAACTTTGCAGGTCTGAATTTGAATCTCGATGTTGAATCGTTAGAAAACAATTTTTAGATCTGAAAAAAAAGATTAGAAAGTTTACTTTTGGAAGAAAATTGATGAAATCATTGAAAAATTATAATGTTCGAAAATTACGAGCATTTTCTATAAATAATTTATGAACAATCAGTTATACCACCATAACAATTATCATAAACAATAATCAATCCATGAAAATCAGTTGTTCGGAGTCGTAGATAATTTATTTATATTCAGAACTGTACCAGAAAGCGATTTCATGTCTAAAAAATAATGTTTTTGATAGTTTAAACAATTTTAATTATTTATTTCTAAACAACGAATATTTAAAAAATGCTAGTTCTGTGCAAAATGTAGTTTGAATGACGCTAAATATTGATGATTTTTTTTTTCAAATTTTTTTCACGCAGTTTAATTAACAAATTTGATGATTGAAAACGGTTAAATCTGTAGTGTGGCCTGTACCACACTGAAAAAGATACTTGGATATCTTTAAATTAAGAAAGTATGCTTTTTTAAACTATGAACTTTAGGAAGGAATAAAATTATGGAATAGTTAAGCATTAATACCACATTAAGGGAGTCAAGATGTTACGTGATATGCTTTGAAAAGCATATGATTTATAAACATACATAAGTGAATTAAAATCAACGGAGAATATTCATGATTGTAAGCATCTAGGGATTGAAGAAAGAGTTCCATCTTACTAATCCTTAGGGATGGCAGAAAAAGAAATATCTTGGTGCTTGATAAATTGACATCGGTCGAATAGAAGGTGAATCATGTAAAAAAAACGAAAAACTCGTATTTTTCATACCGTTTATAGGAAAATCCAAGAAAAAACCAGGAGTTATTTTTTTTAAGCCTCTCAGTCGTATAAGAATTTCCCGTTTATTTTTAAAAGGGTGATTGTTAGAGGTTGACCAATTTAACATGAAATACCTAATATGCAAAGTATTGTGACGTCAAATCGCAGGGTTTTCTTCAATTAGTTGTAGCTGCTTGATCTTTTATGATTTACATAATTATCAAAATAACAAAATACTTACCTAGTATTTATCATCCAATTTTCGTATTTCATAATTTTTTTAAATGGAAAAAAAATCATGCAAAAACTCAATTGAAGCTTCTGACTATCTCGCTATTAAAATATCTTCAAATCATAATTTTTTATCATGTTTCTTGTTTCAGATCTGGCGGAATTGAGAAAGAAATTTGAAATGGATAAACAAAAACTTCAGCAATTGAAAACAAAGAGAACTTTTAAACCCTTTGGATGAATCATATAAACTTTTTATTTGTAAAAAATAGATTAAATTTTGTTAAACTACAGCTCCTTTACTGCCATACGTTATTAATGTCCATTCAATGAGGAAATGTCTGCATGCGAGGGGTTGTAGGAGAGCCAATAATTCCTCTGAAAGAAAGAACAATAAGGATGAGCGATCGACAAGGACGAGAATAAAAGATGGATAATAATTGGAGACGCGTTCTTACGTTTATTTCCGTAAATACAATTAGCAGACATTGCAGTACTGACGGCCTGAGCCAATCTCTCCATCGCCAGATCTCTCCGGGGTTTGTTTTCAGTGGTTTCAGGCTCCTCTAATAATGTTGCTAAAGCTCTAGTGGTTTGCGCCAGATGTTGAGCGGAAATTGCGTGTTTATTGCTTCCACTGTTTTTTAATCTTAGAACTGCGTCCATCAGAAGTTGTTGGATCTTTGAATAAAATTGATTACGCTCTTCTATGATTGTATTTTCTACATTTTCCGGTTTTGATCGAGCTGGACTTAATATGCACCACCTGTAAAATGATAAACAAGCAGAGTTGCGAGCCTTTTCGACAGAAGCAATGTGATCGTTACTTTATGCGATATTAGTCTTTTTTCTTTTTCTCTCTACCAATTCCATTGGTAATAAGCCTTCGAATGAATCTATAGCAATCGTTCCAGGATAAATGTTCCCCTGAAAATCGTTCTTGGAAAATTGCTCCTTGGAAAAATGTTTCATATTTTTTTCCCACGCCGATTTTTGTATTCGTCGTTATTTCATAAAATATTACATAATATAAAATAGAAGAGGACGTAAATTTTTATTATATCACTTCTCAAGTCATTCTGGGGGCTTATTCTCACCTGTATGAGCCTCATTCACACCCAAATCCGTCTTCACAAAAATTCTTTAAAATATTACAAAATTTTTCAAGGAGCCTTTTTCGTACAGTCGTCTGGTTGCGATGGGTCACCAGATTTATTATTTCGGCTTTCCTCTCCCCATGCTGGCGTGGTAATTATCCATTATTCATATCTCCTCTATTGAACTCATTCCTCAATATTAGTTAAGAATTGATTGAGAATTAATTAAGAAAAATAAAAATTAAATAATTTACTTACGACCGAGACATCAACATTGATGTATCACGAGTATGAACTCTTGTGATATCAAATTTTACATTCATTTTGTTTTCACTCAATCTGTCTAAGTTAAAATAAATTCAGTTCACTAAAAAATTATGTCAAATTATCTTCAAAAAAAAACTATTGAACTTTCCTGAGGTTAAACTTCAGGAAGGATCTCTACTAATCTAAAATTAGTGACAGAAAACCGAATATGCACTTTTTTTTGAGGGGAGGGGGAGGGGGGGTATTTCAGTCCCCGCGAAACACGTCAAAATACGAAACAAAAAAATTCGTTTTGAGANTGGGGGGGGGGGGGGGGGGGTATTTCAGTCCCCACGAAACACGTCAAAATACGAAACAAAAAAATTCGTTTTGAGAAAATACACCCAGATAACTTGTAAAAAAATCAGGCCAAGAAAAGCGCTAGAATTTTTAGCAAAAAAACTACCTGATTTAGACCTGTGCAATGGGCCACTTGTGTTACTTTTTTTTGTTCAATCCAAATTCGTGATCACGCACGAAAAAATTTAATAGTAAAACCTATCGAATTCGTTAGAAAATTCTATTGAATTTCGATTAGTTTTTGGCTGATTCTATAGACATGTTCAATAGAAAACATTCAATAGTCGAAGTCAACAGAATTCGATTTTTCTATATAATGTATTCTTTTCATGTATTTTCTATAGAATTTGCTCGACTCAAATATTTTTTTCATTCTATTTTTCTATTCTTCTCATCAAAAAAATCAAACGAAAAAACTTAGAAAATTTGAGCCGAGGAAATTCTATAGAAAATATCTCAATAGAATAAGTTATATAGAAAAATTGAATTCTATTGACTTTTTCTCCTGAATATTTTCTATTGAACATTTCATTAGCATCGGCCAAAAACTAATAGAACAGTTCAATAGAAATTCAATAGAACTTTCTAACGCATTCGATAGGTTTTTCTATTAAATTTTTTCGTCCGTGATTATCGGGGGTCTGAGTGACAGGGTATCGAGTTAAAATTTCGAGATAAAAATCAAAGAAAAAAATCAATTTAGATAACGTTCAGCAGATAATGGAGCCAGGCCTTGAACCAAAATTTCATCTTCCCCGTTATAAATATAATTTTACCTGAAAAGTCCTGCGATGGGTGTGATTGGGGTCATGGGAATGCCTCCCAGAGGCAACGCTGGATTGTCCATCAAAGGAGTCGCCAGTAGTCCTGGATTATCATCAATCCAGTCCCCAGCGAGTTTCAATAATTTATTGGGCGGATCCTCGAGTCTATAGACTTCTCCAATAGCCGTGAGCAGATTGGCAGTGAAGTGAGGCACCAGAACCGGCAGTTTATTCAATTTATCAATGGAATTCGGAGTGTAAACGAAGTAATCATCGAGAATATGCTTTGCCAAGTCAACACTCTGAATTGAAGTCGACCCGAGCTGTTGAATCCACATCCCCGACGAGTCCAACACCTCTCTGTTCTGCGTGGCAATCGCCATGGACACCAAATTGCCCAGAATCTCGTATCTCGGATATTCCGCTGGGAACAAGAGGAGGAATATCGCATTCCTCACAGCTGGACTGTGATCGGGATTTCTGAAGAATTCACTCAAGACTTCGATCAACTGAAATTCCTGGAGGGCTCGAGTCTTCTTCTGCTGCTTCAACTTTTCAATTTCTCCGAAAACAAATTCATTTATTAATTCCGTCTGGAGCTGAATTTGTCTGTAGGCTGTTGAATTGGCGGCTCTCGGCATTTTTGCTGGAAGACGATTATTTAATGAGTTTCGGGAGGTAAAAGAGGTTTAATGTTAGTCAATTTTAAGTAATAAAGTTGCGCAAGAAAACAATTAAGGATATCCGAAGAGTTCAACTTAGCAAGAAAGTGGTTTCCGAAAAAATAGCCTTATTCGGATATTTTAGTATGATAAGTGATGAACTCTGACTGAATGGTATACATCAAGCTCTATTGACTGTTACATAACTACAAATGATCGATTCCATGAATATTAACATTGATTTGTTGACATGGCCAAATACAAAAAAAAACGGTGTCTTTAAACCTTTTTTGGTTCCGAATGGAACTTTGTAATCGGTCGATTTTTCGATTCTCTAATTCTGATTGGAAATGACTGAGAATGTGATGAAACGTCGAGATACGATGTTTTTAGGGAATGGCTGTGTGTACGTCCGCATGTGTGTGCAAAATTCTGGGAATTTTTTAATAAATTTTCACAAAAAAAAGGACTCAAGTGAGATAAAAATCTGAAATTTTGGCTCGTAATTTATATTGTTTGGGAGCATATCTGGGCGAAATTCCAGCTCAATCGGTCCAGTAGTTTTTGAGATATGGAGATTCCGAAAAAAAAATCTTTTCTCAAAATCTCAAAAACTACTGCATCAAATGAACTTTTTTTGGCGTCAAAATATTCCTCATGATAATATCTATCGATTCAGATCGTAAAATGACTAGCTAACTATTGCGTGTCGCCCAGTAATTGACGTTTTTCATTTTTGTGATAAAATGATGTGAACACGATAGCGCTTGAAAAAATTGAGATTGGAAGTTGAAATTTGGCTGAGATTTCAGATGGGCGAATTTGAATGCGTAGTTTTAAAGATAAGATTTGACATATTGAACTATATTGTTCAATATCTCAATAACTATTCATCCGATTTCAATTTTTTATCGTTGAATGGGTGCTTAATGCAGTGGAATTAGAAAGGCGTTTCAAAATCCAATCTAATATTCATAAATTCAATGAAACCTTGTAAAATCAAAATTATGTTCTCAATTGTTCCCAATTGTTGTTCCTCAAGCTTCATTTGTTCAAATTCTATAATTCCCGGTAGTAACCGAGGAAAAAAGGAAGAGAATTTTTAATAGAATTGCAATGTGAAAGTAATGCAATTGTCCAGCGAATGCGCTAGAATTTTTCTTGAATTTCGTTACGCAAAACGAAAAGCAATTCCACTTCCACTTTAATTTTCTATAAATATTTCGGAATCTCATGTATTTGTTTATTGCGCAGATTCTATCAGATATTTGATACGAAAAAGTCAATCGATTTCGATTTTTCTGTTTGAATTTTTCACGTAAGATTTTTTCTATTAGAATTTTTGGGCACGAATTCTCTAGGTTTTTACCGCTATATTTTGTTTTCTTTGCATTACAGGACCCGAGTGAAAAAAACTTAGAAAATTCATGCCCAAGTATTCTTACAGAAAACTTTCCAAGAGAATATTTATATAGAAAAATCGAAATCTATCGACTTTTTCTAACAAATGTCATAGAATCAGCGTAAAGAACAAATAGAATTTTAACGAGAATTCCCTAGAATTTTAATATAATCCCAATAGAATTTCTAGAGAATTTCAATAGAATTCTCTAGCGAATTCGCTGAGTTTTTCTACTGAATTGTTTCATACGTGCGACCAAAACTACCGAAATCTCTCTCAAGATATTTTTTGCAAATCCAACTCAGACCTATAAAAATGTTCTAGTCTAAGATTTTTCTATTCCCATCAGATTAGAAGATATTCTGTGAAAATTCTCCCTGAATTTGAGTCCAGTCGACTTGTTTTGCTACTCAATGTACTGGATTTTTATAACCTCTACTCACCTATTGCAATCAGTATAGCGGAAAAAACTTTGAAAATCCGTGCCCAATAATTTTAATAGAAAAATCTGAAGAGAAAAATTTAAACAGAAAAATCGAAATATATTGACTTTTTCCTATCAAATATCTATTAGAATCTGTGCAGAAAACAAATGAGATTTTAACGAGAATTTCCTAGACTTTTAATATAATCCCAATAGAATTTCTAGAGAATTTCAATAGAATTCTCTAGCGAATTCGCTGAGTTTTTCTACTGAATTGTTTCATACGTGCGACCAAAACTACCGAAATCTCTCTCAAGATATTTTTTGCAAATCCAACTCAGACCTATAAAAATGTTCTAGTCTAAGATTTTTCTATTCCCATCAGATTAGAAGATATTCTGTGAAAATTCTCCCTGAATTTGAGTCCAGTCGACTTGTTTTGCTACTCAATGTACTGGATTTTTATAACCTCTACTCACCTATTGCAATCAGTATAGCGGAAAAAACTTTGAAAATCCGTGCCCAATAATTTTAATAGAAAAATCTGAAGAGAAAAATTTAAACAGAAAAATCGAAATATATTGACTTTTTCCTATCAAATATCTATTAGAATCTGTGCAGAAAACAAATGAGATTTTAACGAGAATTTCCTAGACTTTTAATATAATCCCAATAGAATTTCTAGAGAATTTCAATAGAATTCTCTAGCGAATTCGCTGAGTTTTTCTACTGAATTGTTTCATACGTGCGACCAAAACTACCGAAATCTCTCTCAAGATATTTTTTGCAAATCCAACTCAGACCTATAAAAATGTTCTAGTCTAAGATTTTTCTATTCCCATCAGATTAGAAGATATTCTGTGAAAATTCTCCCTGAATTTGAGTCCAGTCGACTTGTTTTGCTACTCAATGTACTGGATTTTTATAACCTCTACTCACCTATTGCAATCAGTATAGCGGAAAAAACTTTGAAAATCCGTGCCCAATAATTTTAATAGAAAAATCTGAAGAGAAAAATTTAAACAGAAAAATCGAAATATATTGACTTTTTCCTATCAAATATCTATTAGAATCTGTGCAGAAAACAAATGAGATTTTAACGAGAATTTCCTAGACTTTTAATATAATCCCAATAGAATTTCTAGAGAATTTCAATAGAATTCTCTAGCGAATTCGCTGAGTTTTTCTACTGAATTGTTTCATACGTGCGACCAAAAATACCGAAATCTCTCTCAAGATATTTTTTGTAAATCCAACTCAGACCTATAAAAATGTTCTAGTGTAAACTTTTTGTATTCTCATCAGATTAGAAGATATTCTGCGAAAATTCTCCCTGAATTTGAGTCCAGTCGACTTGTTTTGCTACTCAAAGTACTGAATCTTTATAACCTCTACTCACCTATTGCAATCAGTGCTTCTTTTGCACAATGTGGAAAGTCTAATTTTCTCAAATAATAGTAGTTGAATTCTCCCTCTGGCATTGAGTGATTCGGTTGCTGCATTGTTGCATAATTCATTTTACTTTCGATTGTTTTGAGGGGAATCACGTCATAAATGTAAACAAATCGCTTATTTTTGGAGCTCGTTGTGCCTACAGCCGAGGCTGATGAGGTAGAATTCTGTTTTACAACTCGTGTTTGACAGATTTGGATCGAGTAATAAACGGATTCGAGTGATTGTCAAACACCCCATGAAAAAAAGAATCCTTTCCTTCTCAAGGGAATAATATTTTTAGTATTCGATCATATTGAATATGTCTGGGAAAGCGCAGAGGCCCTACGATGTCATTCGTTACATTTGTGAAAAACAAGTCGTGGTTTTAGATATTGGAGCAGCATACACCAAGTATGTTTAACCCTATTCCTTCACTCTTCAACAATTAAAAATATGGTTTTTTGTTTTTAATTGTGGGATTTCGTTCCAGGTTCGGTTACGCCGGTGAAGCTACACCTAGAGGCATAATCAGAACCGAGATAAAGTGCTCAGAGACACAGAAAATACGTCCGATTTTCAAATACAATAATGTCGATGATTTGTATCAACTACTCGTCGAGTTTCTGCACAGTATTTTCTTCAAGTAAGCAGCGTTTCCTAATTTTTTGTTTTCGAATGGAAGCCTTGTGATCGGTCATTTTTACGATCTTCTGATTTTTCTCGGAAATGATGTAGAATCACGCACGAAAAAATTTAGGGGAGGGTGGTCGATTTCTTCCTCAATTTTTCATGTTTCAACAGTTATTCAATTTCTGAAACACTAGTCATGACTGCGATCATCAAATAGAAAAAAAACTCATTTGAATTCTCATTCTTGAATAATTTTTCTCGAATAATTACCATTCTTGAATAATTTTTCGGTTCTGGACTTTGTCGAAAAGCAATTTTTAAAAATTGGATTATTGAAAATTTTCTGGAAATTTTTTGAGGGCCCACTTTAGTCAATCCTATACGGATTCAACAGGTGTCCATATTGCCGAATAAAACAATTTTCAAATACTTAAATTTTGAATAAAAAATGGTTTTTTCGCAAAAAATTTTAGTGTCCATTTTACCCCAGATGTCCATATTGCCCCACGCTCCCCTAATAGAAAAACCTATCGAATTCGTTAGACAATTCTATTGAATTTCTGTTAAACTTTCTATTAGTTTTTGGCTGATTCTATTGACTATTCTATTGATTCAAATGATCAGTCGTGTTCTACTATTTCCGCACAGAATTTTCAAAAAAAAATTCTATTTTTTGTGTAGACATGCTGCGATAACACCAAAGGACGTGAGACTGGTGATACTGGAGAGCCTCCTGACTCCTACCAAGTTCCGTGACACCCTGGCCAAAGTTCTTTTCAGGCATTTTGAAATCGCCTCTTTGATGCTCTTACCGAGTCATTTGGTGACAATCAGCACCCTCGGTTGGGATACAGCCCTGGTGCTGGATGTTGGTTATCAGGAGGCCACTCTGATTCCAGTTTATAACGGGGTGCCGATGCTGAAAGCCTGGCAGAGTCAGCCGTTAGCAGCTGAAGCCGTTCATAAGTAAAAATAATTTCAATTCTTGTAAGAAAATTCATAACAGATAAAACAGAGCCACATGTAATGCATACTTTAATAATGACGGGCTTTGCTACAATCAAATCAATAATCTCTTGCTGAAGATAACTACACACATGAAAAAATCCAATAGAAAAACTTGGCGAATTCGCTAGAAAATTCTATTGGAATTCTCTAGAAATTCAATTGGGATTCTATTAAATTTCTAGGGAATTCTCGTTCAAATTCTATTTGTTTTTGCGCTGATTCTATGCATAATTTGACAGGAAAAAGTCAATAGATTTCGATTATTCTGTTTGAATTTTTCTCTTGAGATTTTTTCTATAAAAATGCTTGGACATTGATTTTCTAAGTTTTTTTCATTCGGAACCTGTAATGCACAACAAAACAAAATATAACGGAAACAACTTGGAAAATCCGTGCCCAACAATTTTAATAGAAAAAATCTTAAGAGAAAAATTCAAACAGAATAATCGAAATCTATTGACTTTTTCCTAAATTAAATTAATATTGTGATTTCAGGGGAGTGTTTCAAAGATATTGTATAGCTGGAAACATATCACAATATTTTTTATTACAATAAATGTAAAATTTTCTAGATAAAAACTAGTCACAAAAGATGAGTTAAACAATTTATGGCGTTGTCTCGAGAGAAAAAAAAGTCAAGATATTGATAATTTTTTGTAAATACGTTATTTTATGTATTAAGAAATCACGTGCAAAATCTCCGATAGCCTAGGAGAAGGACAACAACGGAAATAATTTCTGAAGTTGCTATTTATGCATCCAGTTGAATGGGGCATCGATAATTTCAGCAGTGTTCCCATGTGGCCGACAGGTCGATAATGTAGGGAAAACACTGAAATTATCGATGCCCCATGTAACCTCATGCATAAATTGCAAGTTTATAAATTATTTCCATTGTTGTCTTTCTCCTAGGCTATCTGAGATTTTGCACGAGATTTCTTAATACATAAAAGAACCTATTTACGAAAAATTATTAATATCTTGACTTTTTTTTCTCTCAAAACAACGTCATAAATTCCTTAATTCATTTATAGAAAATGTGTTTCATAAATATCTCAATCTACGGGAGATAGCAAAATTTTGATAAAGACTTTTTTCCTGAATCTCCCTTTCCTGCATAAACAAAAAAATATATAATTTCCATTTTATATTTTCACCATTGAAACTTCCTTATTAAAGTGAAAGCAATGGAAATAATTCGCATAGACATTGCTCTCTCCATTCATTTTAAATCCAGATGGTAAAAAAATATCCATTCCCCTTTGGTATTCCAAAAATAAAACATTGTGATCAATATGAGAAAATATTCTTTTAATATTTCGAAAGGTTATTTACATTTATTTATATTTATATTAATTTCTAAGGTTTTATTTATATTCATTTGAACATACCTTTCAGTCGTATGAGGGAGCATTTAAAAGAATCACTACCAAATGTAGAATTTGACGAAGAATTCATTGAAGATATAAAAGTGAGGACTTGTTTTGTGACGACCCTCGAGCGTTCCAAGAAACTGGACAGCGACGAACCCCCGGTTCCACCCCCTTCAGTCAAGTACCCCGGATTAAAGACGATTAACGTCCCCGGCGACATAAGAGAAAAGGCATTTGAATTACTATGGGAGAGGGACAACGACAATCTGTCGATTCCAACAATGATTCTAGACTCACTAATCAAGGTACTGAATAAGGGTTTTCTAGAGTGCTTTGGAATTACATTGACCTGCGTAAAATCATGGAAAACTTTTGTTCCAGTGCCCCATTGACACAAGACAGCAGCTGGCGGAGAACATTCTTCTCGTCGGTGGAACGGTCATGGCCAAGGGTTTTACAGCTCGATTGAAGTCAGAGTTAATCTCCATTGTATCGAGTGATTTGTATTCTGAAAAACTGAAGATTAGGAATTTCAAGTTTCACACTGCACCGTGCAAGCCGAATTACACTGTCTGGTTGGGAGGGGCAATCTTCGGCATTGCTGATCTGCCTTCGAGGTGTATTTTAAAAGAAAACTATCTCAAGAATGATCGAGTGCCAGATTGGGCAAGTCTTTTGTATAATAAGAAAGAGGGATCCAGTTCTGGAATTTAAATTGATTTTTAAGCAGAGCACGAATGGGGGAGAAAAAGACAGAATAGACACTTCACTTTTTCTAAAAATACTCATAACTTATTGAGGTGAAATCATTGTTTTAATCGAAAGTCTATGTCGTTGTCTCTGTGATGAATCTAGATTAATCGCGATTGGTGAATTTATTTCACATTTATAAATATTTTTGAGAACTTCAGAAGGGGCTATTCTATCTCATTATTCGCTGTAAACATTCAACACATTATCATTTATACGAAAATGTTTCAATAAAAGTCATTAAATTATTACTTGGAGTTTCTCATTTCTTTACTTCTTAGGCATTGAGTTGAAATGATCAGTTCGAGAATTCAAAGATTAGGTTGTTTTAAAATATTTCTAAAATTTTTTATTAATTCCGTAATCTAAATTTCCCCAAATTTCACATTTTTTCTAATTATCATTATATTATTATTATTTATTTACCTGTCTCACAGGGGAGGACTCCCTATGACGGGTTAGGTTTCATACATTCAGTGGCAATACAAAAAAAAAATAGTAATAATACAGCTTATAATGGAAACTAAATGAATCACAAGAGTGAGGAAGTGCAATAGAGGACGAGATGACCGATTAAATTGAAAGTTAATAAAATAAATTTACTGAAATTGAACAATAAACTTTCCGACGTTTCGACCCATATGCAAATCCTCCTCAGGGCATATTTATTAACTGCAATGACCAACAAAGCTATTTATAAAATGGAAAATTATAAAAATCTGTTATTATCATGAAAAATATACCAGTCCTAAAAAAGAAGTGCGTTAAAATAATTCATTATAGTTTATTATAATTCAATCTAGTTCATTATATTCATTATAATTCATTATCTCGACCAATTGTTATTAATATTAAATTGGTAAATCAAATGTTAAGAAGGAAAATCTTTCAAATTCAAAGAAAACCCAGAGGAAACAATTAAATTAATCATTGGAATTTATTTTTCATCATTTAATACAAGAATCTTGTTATTTAAAAAATACTCGAGAATCGGATATCCCCGATCAACAGTTTACAGGGTAGTGAGGAGTGTAAGTTTCTCATTCAATTGAAGTTGAGTTTTAATCAACTGCGACAATGCAACAACCATGAGCAAATCCTTGACGTTGCTATTGAACATTTCATCAAATTGATCACTCGTCATTTTAGGCACCGAGTGCACCATGTCCAAGAGGGCCCTCCCGACTTGATTGTCTGGAGGCTGTTTACCAGCTAGAACATCGTCGACGTAGATCAGAACTTGATCCAACATGGAGGATAACTTGGAGCTGGCCTCTGCTATTTGAGCAAGATCCATCATTGGCTCAACTGTGCCACCTGTTTTCGGTCCTGCCGGCAGTGATTGCGTCTTCTGGCAGAGCTGGAGTCCAGTTATTTCAGGCTCATAAGATGTGACCTGGAGAACAATTAACAAGTAGCAATTAATAACATTAGCAATTTTTCAAAACGAGTATAAGTCAGTCTAAACAGAATGACAAACAAGTGGGAAATTGCTCCTGTATTTAATATGGTACTGTTATTTTTGCTAATAAATTAGCAATATGCTTCTGAATGGTTATTTTGCATATTACTTCTTTCTAATATCTATAATTTATTGTTTATTTTATTTCATTAAATTGAATCAGATTTCCTTTTAAATAATCTTCTATACAATCGATTCTCTTTTTTACAGTTCTATCTCTCCCCTCACTCCTTTGATGAAATGTTAACCGAAAATTGTTTTTAATGTTAATTTAAAACAGTTTAATGTGTAATTTGAAACATTACATTTGGAGAAATCGTCAGAAAGCTCACTTTCAAAAAAATTCATGAAAAATTCGAAATTTTCAACGCTCATCGTAAAAACCAAATCAATCAATATAGCTATCGTAATCATCTTTCAACTTTGGCTTAACGGCATTAAAACGAGCATTTTAAGCTATGATTGAATTCAATTGAAGCATGGTATTCAAAAATATTCCCGGAATTCTAATTTTCAAAAAATACAAAAGTTTTGACAATTTTCGAATAAATCAAAATAACGATTATTGCTATCGACTTCATTTTCGAACCCGGTCAAAGGGAAATCCAAACAAATTTTTTAAGCCATCATCCAATCAATTCAGAATTTTTTTTTCAATTATCATGCGACAACCGATTTTCGAAAAACTAATTGATGAATTAAATTTCAATTAATAGCGACCGATAGAGCTCAACAATACCTACATTTGAAAAAAAAGATTCAATTCCATTCATTCATTAGCGAACAATTGACGAAAAACTTTACCACACACATACGTACGAACACGGTCTAAAAATTGCATTTTCGGACTTTTTGGATGATAATGGGCCGATATAACACGAAAAATCCGAAAATTAAATTTGAACGACTACAATGCTTTCATTCAGAAGCAAAAATAAGCTAATAACATGAATTTGAATAACCATTAAATATGACCGTCTGGTCAGTCGTCTATCGTCTATTGAATGTTCAGGCTGTATTCCATTTTTTTATCATTTTATCATTTATTCCTCAATTGTTGCCACTTCAAATCATTATTTTCCCATAATTCATCTATTTTTTCAGGTGTAGAACCCATCGTTGTCATATTTAGATAATTTATCATTTGTTTATCTCTTGATGGGCTTCAAATTGTCCTTAACCGTCTATCTATTAGTCTGGTTACCCTATTTTCACGTAAAAAATTATTATAAAAATCAAATAATCAAAGCGATTATTTGTTTCTCTAATTTTTCACAATCTTGAATACGGAAATCAGTAGTGAAGCAGTAAACCGGTTTAAGTCGACTTGGCTCATCGCTGTTTTCGAGGAATATCTCCGAATCTAAGAGAAATAGCAAAATTTTTATTGTAACCTTTTTTGTAGCTCTCAATTCGCCCTACAAAAAAGGTTATTACAAAAAATTTGCTATCTCCCTTTGGTTCCGAGGTATTCATTAAAAACTGGCCAATAGTCTAAATCGACTTGGACTATTCAGGTTTACCGCTTCGTTACTGAAATCAATAACAAGAAGATTCTACCTGAACTTTAGTCGGAGTGAACATGCATCCCTGCTTGCCATTGGGTACACCCAGCTGTACGCAAACGTAAGCCTTGATTCCCATTCTCGTTGTATTGAGAAGAGTCGTATCAACAGTCAAATGCACTGGATTATTGCACTCCCTGGCATAATACTCGTGGATGACTGACGAATGCGTGGTAACCTCTTTACCAGTTGCCCACCACCCCACGATATTCTCCTGCGCATTGACCCTATGATTCAGATCATAGAGATCCATGGCATAACTGAGCTCAGCCTCGACCTGGTCATCGTACTCCTTGTGGGGCACGCAGAAGCAGTTCGTCACCTCCACGATGCCCTTCTCAGCGGTACCTGCGGCATCATCATAAGGATTATTTTGAGGTTAGGCGAACACATGTTTGGGCAAAAAAGGGATTTCCATGCGGTGGAACATGTTGATTTATTTATTTCTGGAAGGACTTACCCAAAAGTGTTCCTATGACTCTCTGGGAGTCTGAATTACGTCGCTCGTAAGCATCTACAATCTGAAATAACACCACAGGGTGTACCTTGACAGTGAGGTCTAGCGCCATGTTTGGCAGAAAGAGACAGAAGAGCTTGGAAGTGCGCAGAAACACCCGCGCACCATTCAAAAGGCATAATGGACACAGCACTTTCTCGATAAACTGAGAGTTTGGTACAGACCGCACGATATATTCAACTATTTTTAATCATCAAATTTGTTAATTAAATTGCTTACAGCCGTTATGACAAAAAATATTGTTCGTCATATGGCCTGAAAAAAAATTTCTAGCTCATATGATTCGAAACTCATATTCTCCAGAAAAGTTTTTTCGGCGTAATGACGAAATATACTTTTCGTGAGAAGACCCGGTAAACCGCGATTCTAACCTCGCTTCGCTCGGATTGATCGCGGTTTACGGGCCTTCTGACGAAAAATTGCATTCATCACACGGTCCAAAAGTATTTTCTGACGAATGTGATTATAGGCAAAGCCACATTCGTCAGAAAATACTTTGTGGACCTTGTGATGAAAATAACTAATTCCGACCGTATGACGAACAGTATTTAGAAAGAAATACTGTTCGTTACACGGCCGTAAACAACTTTTCCGCCTCATAAAAAGGCGGAAAAGTAAAAGTAAAGGTAAAAGTTCTTTAAGGCCGTGTGTCGAAGAGTAGATCATTTTAAATACTGTTCGAACAGTAGTTTATTTTAAATACTGTTCGATACATGACCGTGAACAACTTTCCCGCCTCATATTCGCCAGAAAAGTTCCTCGCGGCCTAGTGTTGAAATAGTTTATTTTCGGCCTAAAAACGAAATATACTATTCTACGTCCGTGAAACGCTGCTTTACGGCCGGAATGACAAAAATACCATACAAAGCCACATTCGTCAGAAAATACTTTGTGGACCTTGTGATGAAAATAACTAATTCCGACCGTATGACGAACAGTATTTAGAAAGAAATACTGTTCGTTACACGGCCGTAAACAACTTTTCCGCCTCATAAAAAGGCGGAAAAGTAAAGGTAAAAGTTCTTTACGGCCGTGTGTCGAAGAGTAGATCATTTTAAATACTGTTCGAACAGTAGTTTATTTTAAATACTGTTCGATACATGACCGTGAACAACTTTCCCGCCTCATATTCGCCAGAAAAGTTCCTCCCGGCCTAGTGTTGAAATAGTTTATTTTCGGCCTAAAAACGAAATATACTATTCTACGTCCGTGAAACGCTGCTTTACGGCCGGAATGACAAAAATACCATACAAAGCCACATTCGTCAGAAAATACTTTGTGGACCTTGTGATGAAAATAACTAATTCCGACCGTATGACGAACAGTATTTAGAAAGAAATACTGTTCGTTACACGGCCGTAAACAACTTTTCCGCCTCATAAAAAGGCGGAAAAGTAAAAGTAAAGGTAAAAGTTCTTTAAGGCCGTGTGTCGAAGAGTAGATCATTTTAAATACTGTTCGAACAGTAGTTTATTTTAAATACTGTTCGATACATGACCGTGAACAACTTTCCCGCCTCATATTCGCCAGAAAAGTTCCTCGCGGCCTAGTGTTGAAATAGTTTATTTTCGGCCTAAAAACGAAATATACTATTCTACGTCCGTGAAACGCTGCTTTACGGCCGGAATGACAAAAATACCATACAAAGCCACATTCGTCAGAAAATACTTTGTGGACCTTGTGATGAAAATAACTAATTCCGACCGTATGACGAACAGTATTTAGAAAGAAATACTGTTCGTTACACGGCCGTAAACAACTTTTCCGCCTCATAAAAAGGCGGAAAAGTAAAGGTAAAAGTTCTTTACGGCCGTGTATCGAAGAGTAGATCATTTTAAATACTGTTCGAACAGTAGTATATTTTAAATACTGTTCGATACACGACCGTGAACAACTTTCCCGCCTCATATTCGCCAGAAAAGTTCCTCGCGGCCTAGTGTTGAAATAGTTTATTTTCGGCCTAAAAACGAAATATACTATTCTACGTCCGTGAAACGCTGCTTTACGGCCGGAATGACAAAAATATCATATTTACATTTTTCAAACAATTGTTTGCATCAGTGTTTTGAATATCGATATTTTTGGCGCGATTCTGCATGGAACGATTTTTATCGATTCAAGATATCGATACTTCTGTCAGTATTGACTATTCGTATTTAAGCTGCAGTGTTTACGAAGAAGCAAAGAGGATAATGGAGCGACTGCATGGAGCTGTCACCAATTCCACCGAGAAAATTAATATCAAGCAATACTTCGAGGATTTCAGCAAGCTATTGACACCTGTGGAGTACGGGAACTTGAACGAGATCTTCTTCGAAAAGAAACAGCTCGGATTGCTGAAGGAAACCTGCAGGTTAGCGAAGGCATATTAACCTTTACACCGAACTCCCGGTCTGTGGGACTGCTATCAAAACTTTCAGTCTGTAACTATTGATAAATGTAAGAAAAAAATTTCAAACTCCCAGTAGCTTTCTATTTCATCGTTCCAATCGATACAGAATGTTCTCAATTTTTTTCGCCTCGATAAATCCATGAAATCACAAATATTTCTTCTAATTTATTCACTGAGGGAATCGATAAAAAAATAATTAGCACCAACTTTTAACTTTAACTTTTAACGTTATTTATTACAAGAAACATACTTCTTACAAATACTCATTGCCCGAGGGCCTTCAGCCTAGAATATACTGCCGAAAAAATTTAATAGAAAAACCTATCGAATTCGTTACAAAATTCTATTGAATTTCTATTGAACCGTTCTATTAGTTTTTGGCCGTTCTATTGAAATGTTCAATAGAAAATATTTAGTAGAAAAAGTCAATAGAATTCAATTTTTCTATATAACTTATTCTATTGAGATATTTTCTATAGAATTTCCTCGGCTCAAATTTTCCAAGTTTTTTCGTTTGATTTTCTTGATGAGAAGAAAAGAAAAATAGAAAGCAAAAAACTTAGAAAATTTGAGTCGAGCAAATTCTGTAGAAAATATATGAAAAGACTAAGTTATGTAGAAAAATCGAATTCTGTTAATTTTTCTATTGAACATGTCAATAGAATCAGCCAAAAACTAATAGAAAGTTTAATAGAAATTTAATAGACTTTTCTAACGAATTCGATAGGTTTTCCTATTAAATTTTTTCGTGCGTGTACACTTCTTCTGTACCGTATGAAATTATCTCTATTAGGAACTGTGTTCATGTGATTCAATGTTAATTTAATATTGATGGTAATTAGCACCAATTATTCATAACGAATGCCATTTTTTGTTAGTTGTATAATTGCAGATTAACAGTCAAGGTTTATGTGAAAAAATGTTCATAACAAATATTTGAGTGCGAAGAAAAATGAAATAAAATTAGTAAAAGATTACACTCATATGTTTTGCGCCCTCTGTTCAACCCTTCTATCATTTAACCCTTCCTTATTTGACCTTTCCCACTTTTAGTCCTCATTTGAAGCATCAGCTACAAAAAGCATTGATTCATTCGCTCAAACAAACGGCAAATGCGATCCAGACGAAATAGCGGTCTGACAAACCATGGGGTCCTATTCTAAAAAGAACATACACTTAAAGTCGATAACTATCGATATCTCGCAAGTCTGTCACGCTTATTCCTCCTTGAATGAGGGATTCAATGTAAAAGTTAGTTCGATCATCGCTTGAGGCTTTTTTTCATTCGTCAAAGATTATTATTGATGTTTGTTGCAGTATAGATCACTTAGGCTTCGCAGGAGAGCCAGTGCCCTCGAAGAGCGAGAAGGATGCTGCTGAGAAAGCTGCCAACATTCCAGAGGACACGGAACTGGAGACTCTCCGGGAGTTGATGAAAAAATACAAAAGCCGGGAGGGGAAGAAGAACGAGGGCTATATTAAATATCAGCGGGAAATACCAATTGTAAGTGGTAATCATCAACTTTCATTTGATCTCAATAGTTACGCAGAGAAACGAATGGACAATGACATTTTTGTTATGAATAAGTATAGTAATTATTGCTAATAAATTAGCAAATAGAAAAATATATTTCTCTTGAGTTCCTAGGGGGTTGAAACGTTCAATTTAATCAAAACTCCATAAGAGGCCGTGTATAAGACTGATTTTGTTTATTTAATTTCTCGATATCTATAAGTTCTAAAATTTTAAAATTGTCACCAATGTTCACCATCTGTCTAATACTATTAATTTAAAAAATTATAACTTTGTTGGTGAGTGTCAATTTTCAAGGTCATCGCCAAATTCACTTGGCACCCTTAACTCTGGGTTTTGGTCTATCAAGGAGGTTTTGATTCTAGGAACCCAAAAGTTTTGATTTGTAGAACGAATATTTTCTATTGTATATTATAAAAACGAGAGAGAATGTCCAATTACACTAGATTTATTCGAATTCTTCTGAAAATAAGTGTCAATTTCACTTATTCCCAGGGTTTATACTGAAATTCAGAGATTTTTTTTTGGAAACTAGAAATTATTCTGTTTCTCTGGGATATCGACTCATCCTGAGGGTAATTAAAGAAAACGTTTGGGGGTAATGGCTTTTCTGTCATTGTCTCGTTTTAAAATGACTCGTTCGCTAGAAATGATGAAGAATTACTTTAGGATTTGCTTCCAATCGTGAAATTATTTATTTTTATTTTCAACGGAATTCGTTGCAAGTCCGAGGACTTGCAACTGGCTATCGACCGAGGGCCTTCAGCCAGGTATTTCCAAAGTAGTATAGACATTAGAAAACCGAGTGGAAATATAGTTATAGGTTGACAATAAGAAAATAGATAGTAAGAAAAATCGTGAAATTATTTGTGTGATTTTCTCCAATGAGACAATCGAGCCTGAATTCACTCAAAACATGATTTTTATGATGTATTTTTTATTTCAGAGGTATGAAACATCAGATAAAATTAAAGAGGGAGCAGTACCAGGGCAGGATATTTTCGTATCCATTCGGGTTTATAAGCCCTACTCATCTGATTCTTCTTGCGAGGCAAAGCTCAGATTATCTTCGTTAATTGTGATGTTGGGGAATCAGACATTGGACAAATTACGAGATAAAATTAATTGTATCTCGGATCTTACGATTGCTGAGGAGATCAGTGAAGATCCTCGTGGCGGGGACAGAGGAGTTGCCAACAGGGTAATGAATAATCGCTGATGATTACAGCCTATTTCATTATTTCCAGTGATTCTTTTTCTAGAATTTTTTTTTGTCTTTTCAATTATTCAAATCAATTGTATCAATGTAATAATTAATTTGAATGATTACTTAGTATTTTCCACTCATTTTAAATTTTTGTTGATTAAATTTAATTTTTTAGAAGAATTTTCTCATTTTTCGAAACGATTCTAGTGAATTGAATGCAGAACAAGAATTAATTGTTTTTTTTTCCGTGCATTTCAGGACATTTACAAGTCGGGATTCTTTTTCATTGAAGAAATATTCTACAATGACATGAGGAACGAGACGAACATGGATAACAGTGCTGTGATAAGAAAGTGGGCGGAAGCCAAGGGGATGGGGAAATTCGGAATAGCGAGGATGGAGGACACACGAGTGGACTCACTCGCCGTGAGGTTTGGATATCCCTGGGTCTATCAACACCAGGGCACCTGTGAGCATCTGATTGTCTTCAGTGATGCCAGGTATAGGAATATTGCCAACTACTATAAGATTATCGAGATGTACAACATGAGGGAAATATATTATCGATTCTGCAATCGACTTACACCGAGAAAAAAAATTATTTTTGCCAAATATCCATTTACTTGAGAGAAGTATTTTTTTTTCACTACTGTATTTCTCCATTGGCGTCAATCTCAGGCAATCCTCATTAGGTTTCAATTATGTCAATTATATTGCTCTAGAAGATGATCATGTTAGTTATGACTTTGAGCTAACTCCTTCAATAATTATCAACATTAAAAAATTGATCGAAATCCTTCCCTCTAGGAAATAAGGAATTTAGGAAGAATGAAAAATCATTACAGGAGTTCATCCAAGGTCGTGTGGGACATAGTCATCCTCTAGAGCAATATGATTTTCATAATTGAAACCTAATCAGGCTCGCCTGAGAATGACTCGATTGGAGAGATACGATTTTTTAAAAATAAATACTTCTCTCAAGTAAATGAATATTTGGCAAAAATAATTTTTTTTCTCAGTGTAATGACCGGGATAATTGGTAACTTTGAGAAATTCAGCAATTGAAATTGTTTAATTATCTGGTTAATAAATGAGTTTAAGGCAAAAAAATCCGCCTTTGTTGTGGGAAATTACAGTCTTTGCAGAAAGTTCTCTTGACCTTTTCCTCTATAGCCACTCAATAATGGGACAATTTCGAAATCAGTAAAGATATCTTGATGAATTGAGTTTCATTCATTCACTCTGTCGGTTAACGGTGTTATTTATTTATTTATGTTTACCCATCAGTCTGAAAATTATAGAATTTTCTTCGAACATGAAAAAAAATCGTTTTTGTGAAAGTGAAGAAACATTTTTAGCGAAATAATTACCAAATTAACGAGCAATATTATTTTTACCGCAGATTGGTACATCCAGATGATGATCTTGATATTTCCCACTACCCTAAGATTGAACGAGTGAAACCCACGAGGTTTCACCTCTGCATGCTCTGCAATGCTCGCCCAGTCCACTGGATAGTGACGGAGAGTGACCGAGTGCCTCACGACCCCTGCTACTTCTGTGAACAATGTTTCATGTCATTCAATTACATCGATGGAAGGAAACTGGGGACTTTCAAGGCGTATCGGTACCCCTACGACCCGGTAATCTCCAAGAGTTGCGTTGAAGAGTCTACACAGAAGGAGGAAGATTCAGATTCACAATAATTATAATAAATTTCCGGTAAAAAATGTGAAAACTCAATTTTTATCGACGAATTTTCAAATTTTAATTTTTCGGTTGATTCTGGCATTCAGTACTATTGGCCGATTTTCAATGAATATCTCGGAATCTGAGGGAGGTAGCAAAGTTTTTGTCATAAACTTTTTTATAGAGAAAATTGAGTGCTACAAAAAAGGTCTTCACGAAAAATTCGTTATCTCCTCGAGATTCGGAGATATTCCTCGAAAACTCAACTACGAGCAGACTCAACTATTTTGTATGCCCCGAATCCAATTAGAAAAGAATTACACTTATCGAAAAATTGAACGAGTGTAATACTAACTCGGTAGATCCTTTCGTTTTTGGAAGCGATAAAACTAAAAAAACTCAAAATATGAGACCTGTTCTTGAAAAACTGCAGTATTATGATTTAATATTACAAAATAATTTATACAGCGTTAACGATGAACAAAAATGTAAATACCATAGTCTAAGACATCCCCACCGACAGTGTAAATAACTCATATGTAAGATTTCTAAACATTAAATGAATAAGAATGAAAATAAATAAATTAAAAAAATCGTTTACGGAAATTTCCGAAATAAAACAGTCTGTAGGCCTTGAATACTGCACTTTGATTGGCTCAAATCCGAGGGAATGAAATAATCTATAGAAATTCCTCAGCACAATTTTTTCATGTTTTTTTTTCATTTTATTTTCATTTTTGTCTCAACAAAACTTGGACATTTAGGCCGACGAATTCGTACAGGAACAATCCCAATAGAATAAGTTGTATAGAAAGTTGACCATATTTACCGATTTCCTCTATACAATTTATATTCAACATTTCTGATTCTGTCCAATTTTTTAATACAATTGGCGAAAAATTAATAGAATCTCCCATAGACATTTTCTAAACAATTTTATTATTCTACACAATTTTTATAGAAAAACTATAAATTTTTTTAAAAAGTTAAAACAATTAGTCAAAGTTAAAAGTTAAGTTTTTAATAAATTTTTTAATAAAGTTTTCCTCTGATTTTTTTTCACACGTCAAAAACGTCATTTACACGCTTTTTCATGTTAATTGCATAATTAACCAGAATGTGCACTAATTTTCCCATCTATTCTTTTTAAACTGGTTATTGTCACTCGATAATGAAGGGCTCCTGGTTCGAGGTTCTCAATAATTCCACTTTGCGTCGCTCCAGTTGACAAAATGGTGGAAATTTGGCGGTAAAATAAGCACCCAACACATGTAGAGAAAAATGGAGCCGAGCGGAAAGTGTGGTTTTGTTATTTTCCCGAGTGATTTGTTGTGAAAAAATCCAAACAAATATCCGTTCTTACTCTTATAGTTTCGCAAGATTCTAGTAGTTTTAATGAAGTGAATGGGTGAATTTCCAGTTAAACTACTTATTAAATTGTGCCATCAGGATAGTTTTGGGAGTTCTAAATGAGGTACTGAGAAAAACATCCAAACAAATATCCAGTCTTACTCTCAGTTTCACAAGATTCTATGAATTTTAATGAAGTGAATGGGTGAATTTCCAGTTGAACTACTCATTAAATTGTGCCGTCAGGATAGTTTTGGGAGTTGTAAATGAGGAGCTGGGTCATTAATGTAATGACAACATGTATGAAAAAATTCTATAAGATTTTCTATAGCATATCCTATAGGAAATCCTATGGAGAATTCGAACATATCGTACAGGATTTTCCAGATAGGATTTCCTATAGGATTCTTTATCAGATTTTTCCTATTGTAGTTTTTATAGGATTTTCTACAGGATTTGATATGAGATTTTCAACAGGATTTCTTATCAAACTTAGGGGTGTGAGAGTCAAAAGTGTCGTGCGGGAATCATTTAAGGGGTCTCCTCAGTAATTTTCGCCACAAAACGACAATGTGCTAGCGAATTGAATATGTAATATAATAATCAAAAATGGTAAAAGGAAAATTATAAAAAAAACTCTGAGTAATTTTATCGTTTCATTCGTTTTCAATTAATCATTCGAATTTCTGCTTATACACGGGCTTTAAGAACGAAATTTTGTCCCTTACCCCTCACCCTGTTGACAATGTGCTAGCCAACAAAGGAAGCGATATTTATTTATATTAAACTCTCAAAAATAAGGGAATGAAGTCTCATCGAGTTTTGCCAGTAATTTGTTGATTAAATTAACGATAAAAATAATTGGCGTGATGTCTGTCACTATCCAACGCACGCCATGTTTGATGTTTCGTCTCTCTCGAAAATAACCTCACTAACTTAACCATTTTACGCTCCACTCACCCGCGCGCCAATCGCCGTTTTGCCCTACTGAGGAGACCCCTTAAGGATCTATCACACCCTTGTCGCTAAAATTCACGTTTTTTCAATTTTTCTGGTGAATTATTGATCGGATTGATGTGAAAAAATATACCGTTTTTGAGTTACATCATTACTTAATGACTCACGAAATTTCATGATCGTGCAATCATTTTCCTGCGTTTTTTCTAAAGCTTTTCGGAAATTCACAAAACTAGACGAATTGCAGGAAAATGATTCCACTACCATAAAACTTCGTGAGTCAGCCAATGATGATAAAACGCAAAAACGGTATATTATTTCGCGTCAATCCGATCAATAATTTGCCAAAAAAAAGAACAAAAAAGAGAATTTTGGCCGAAAGGGTGCAGTACATCTTTAACTGTAATATGGGGGTCATATAGGGGTCATTGGATGACAATATGAGGGTCATATGGGAATCGTATTAGGGTCACCCCCATATGTCCCTATGTGACCCTCATATGGCTTTTATATGACCCACATATGACTCTTATAGACGCCCATATGACTCCCAAATGATCCCCATATGACGTCCATATGATCCTCATTCTGACCCTCATGACCCTAAATTTTATAGGAAATCCTATCGAAAATCAGCTGTGTGAACTTGGAGTCGAAGTTTGATAAATCGATTTTTTTTCTTATAGTATCGATTGTACTCAGTGAGTACCTGAACGTACCACATTCATTTTCGTATGTACCCCGCATCCCTAGACGTAAGGGGTGCGGAAAAAATCGTGCAGCATCGGAAATGAAGGTACGGAAAAAAATTTCATGAGCAAGGATTCAGCATGGATAGTACTTGTATGTACTATATTTTTCCATTTCATTTATCAACCCCTTCAATACTTTACCCGCTTCTAAAATCTTAAATGTATGAAGGACGTCAGGAAAACATACAGATAGCTTCTAAATCGTTAGTACTCGTTTGTACCAACGAAAATTATTCATTATTATTATTATTATTATTATTCTAATCAAATCACCTGATTCCATTTTTATCAACCGTAAAATCATCGTAATGGATTCCATATGTAGTTCGTGAAGTTTTGATGTGGGTACGTCTCATCTTCCGTATTTCCACTCCCATCGCAGTACAAACGGAACAATTTACTGTACATGATAATGAGACCAAGTACAAACCATTGAGAGCTTCAAAAACAGTCGTAGATTATTCAGAAAAATGATACAAACGTTTTTCTGAATTTTTCCGAGATAATCGCGAAAAACGAAATCGCCAAAAAAAATTAATTTAATTTATCTGGTATAGGGTGTAGGAAGTGGAAAAACGCAATTCTGAGCCGTCCATCTGCCTATAGGGAACCCAAATTTCCTCAGGAATCGAATGGAATAGGTTTTAAGGCTCTATCTCTCATAGTTTCCGAGATAATCGCGAAAAACGAAATCGCCAATAAAAAAATTTAATTTATCTCTTATAGGGTGTAGGATGTGGACAAAAACGCAATTCTGACCCATCCATCTGCCTATACGGAACCCAAATTTCCTCAGGAATCGAATGGAATTGGTTTTAAGGCTCTATCTCTCATAGTTTCCGAGATAATCGCGAAAAACGAAATGGTAAAAAAAAATTAATTTAATTTATTTTTATAGGGTGTAGGAAGTAGAAAAACGGAATTCTGAACCGTCCATCTGCCTGTAGGGAACCCAAATTTTCTCAGGAATCGAATGGAATAGGCTTTAAGGCTCTATCTCTCATAGTTTCCGAGATAAACGCGAAAAACGAAATGGTAAAAAAAAATTAATTTAATTTATTTTTATAGGGTGTAGGAAGTAGAAAAACGGAATTCTGAGCCGTCCATCTTCCTATAGGAAACCCAAAATTGGTTTTAAGGCTCTATTTCTCATAGTTTCCGAGATAAACGCGAAAAACGAAATGGTAAAAAAAAATTAATTTAATTTATTTTTATAGGGTGTAGGAAGTAGAAAAACGGAATTCTGAGCCGTCCATCTGCCTATACGGAACCCAAATTTTCTCAGGAATCGAATGGAATAGGTCTTAAGGCTCTATCTCCCATAGTTTCCGAGATAAACGCGAAAAACCGAAATGGCAAAAAAAAAATTAATTTAATTTATCTCTTATAGGGTGTAGGATGTGGAAAAACGTAATTCTGAGCCGTCCATCTGCCTATACGGAACCCAAATTTCCTCAGGAATCGAATGGAATAGGTTTTAAGGCTGTATCTCTCATAGTTTGCGAGATAATCGCGAAAAACGAAATCGCCAAAAAAAAAAAATTTAATTTATCTCTTATAAGGTGTAGGATGTGGAAAAACGTAATTCTGAGCCGTCCATCTGCCTATACGGAACCCAAATTTCCTCAGGAATCGAATGGAATAGGTTTTAAGGCTGTATCTCTCATAGTTTGCGAGATAATCGCGAAAAACGAAATCGCCAAAAAAAAAAAATTTAATTTATCTCTTATAAGGTGTAGGATGTGGAAAAACGTAATTCTGAGCCGTCCATCTGCCTATACGGAACCCAAATTTCCTCAGGAATCGAATGGAATAGGTTTTAAGGCTGTATCTCTCATAGTTTGCGAGATAATCGCGAAAAACGAAATCGCCAAAAAAAAAAAATTTAATTTATCTCTTATAAGGTGTAGGATGTGGAAAAACGTAATTCTGAGCCGTCCATCTGCCTATACGGAACCCAAATTTCCTCAGGAATCGAATGGAATAGGTTTTAAGGCTGTATCTCTCATAGTTTGCGAGATAATCGCGAAAAACGAAATCGCCAAAAAAAAAAAATTTAATTTATCTCTTATAAGGTGTAGGATGTGGAAAAACGTAATTCTGAGCCGTCCATCTGCCTATACGGAACCCAAATTTCCTCAGGAATCGAATGGAATAGGTTTTAAGGCTGTATCTCTCATAGTTTGCGAGATAATCGCGAAAAACGAAATCGCCAAAAAAAAAAAATTTAATTTATCTCTTATAAGGTGTAGGATGTGGAAAAACGTAATTCTGAGCCGTCCATCTGCCTATACGGAACCCAAATTTCCTCAGGAATCGAATGGAATAGGTTTTAAGGCTGTATCTCTCATAGTTTGCGAGATAATCGCGAAAAACGAAATCGCCAAAAAAAAAAAATTTAATTTATCTCTTATAAGGTGTAGGATGTGGAAAAACGTAATTCTGAGCCGTCCATCTGCCTATACGGAACCCAAATTTCCTCAGGAATCGAATGGAATAGGTTTTAAGGCTGTATCTCTCATAGTTTGCGAGATAATCGCGAAAAACGAAATCGCCAAAAAAAAAAAATTTAATTTATCTCTTATAAGGTGTAGGATGTGGAAAAACGTAATTCTGAGCCGTCCATCTGCCTATACGGAACCCAAATTTCCTCAGGAATCGAATGGAATAGGTTTTAAGGCTGTATCTCTCATAGTTTGCGAGATAATCGCGAAAAACGAAATCGCCAAAAAAAAAAAATTTAATTTATCTCTTATAAGGTGTAGGATGTGGAAAAACGTAATTCTGAGCCGTCCATCTGCCTATACGGAACCCAAATTTCCTCAGGAATCGAATGGAATAGGTTTTAAGGCTGTATCTCTCATAGTTTGCGAGATAATCGCGAAAAACGAAATCGCCAAAAAAAAAAAATTTAATTTATCTCTTATAAGGTGTAGGATGTGGAAAAACGTAATTCTGAGCCGTCCATCTGCCTATACGGAACCCAAATTTCCTCAGGAATCGAATGGAATAGGTTTTAAGGCTGTATCTCTCATAGTTTGCGAGATAATCGCGAAAAACGAAATCGCCAAAAAAAAAAAATTTAATTTATCTCTTATAAGGTGTAGGATGTGGAAAAACGTAATTCTGAGCCGTCCATCTGCCTATACGGAACCCAAATTTCCTCAGGAATCGAATGGAATAGGTTTTAAGGCTGTATCTCTCATAGTTTGCGAGATAATCGCGAAAAACGAAATCGCCAAAAAAAAAAAATTTAATTTATCTCTTATAAGGTGTAGGATGTGGAAAAACGTAATTCTGAGCCGTCCATCTGCCTATACGGAACCCAAATTTCCTCAGGAATCGAATGGAATAGGTTTTAAGGCTGTATCTCTCATAGTTTGCGAGATAATCGCGAAAAACGAAATCGCCAAAAAAAAAAAATTTAATTTATCTCTTATAAGGTGTAGGATGTGGAAAAACGTAATTCTGAGCCGTCCATCTGCCTATACGGAACCCAAATTTCCTCAGGAATCGAATGGAATAGGTTTTAAGGCTGTATCTCTCATAGTTTGCGAGATAATCGCGAAAAACGAAATCGCCAAAAAAAAAAAATTTAATTTATCTCTTATAAGGTGTAGGATGTGGAAAAACGTAATTCTGAGCCGTCCATCTGCCTATACGGAACCCAAATTTCCTCAGGAATCGAATGGAATAGGTTTTAAGGCTGTATCTCTCATAGTTTGCGAGATAATCGCGAAAAACGAAATCGCCAAAAAAAAAAAATTTAATTTATCTCTTATAAGGTGTAGGATGTGGAAAAACGTAATTCTGAGCCGTCCATCTGCCTATACGGAACCCAAATTTCCTCAGGAATCGAATGGAATAGGTTTTAAGGCTGTATCTCTCATAGTTTGCGAGATAATCGCGAAAAACGAAATCGCCAAAAAAAAAAAATTTAATTTATCTCTTATAAGGTGTAGGATGTGGAAAAACGTAATTCTGAGCCGTCCATCTGCCTATACGGAACCCAAATTTCCTCAGGAATCGAATGGAATAGGTTTTAAGGCTGTATCTCTCATAGTTTGCGAGATAATCGCGAAAAACGAAATCGCAAAAAAAAATTAATTTAATTCATTTTAAAAAATTAATTTAATTTATCTGGTATAGGGTGTAGGAAGTGGAAACACGCAATTCTGAGCCGTCCACCAATAAAACCGCTGAGTNATGAATAATTTTCGTTGGTACAAACGGGTACTAACGATTTAGAAGCTATCTGTATGTTTTCCTGACGTCCTTCATACATTTAAGATTTTAGAAGCGGGTAAAGTATTGAAGGGGTTGATAAATGAAATGGAAAAATATAGTATATACAAGTACTATCCATGCTGAATCCTTGCTCATGAAAATTTTTTCCGTACCTTCATTTCCGACGCTGCACGATTTTTCCCGCACCTCTTACGTCTAGGGGTGCGGGGTACAAATGAAAATGAATGTAGTACATTCAGGTACTCACTGAGTACAATCGATACTATAAGAAAGACAATCGATTTATCAAACTTCGACTCCAAGTTCACACAGCTTCCAAAAATCTTATAGGATATCCTATAGCAAATCCTATCTGAAAAATCCTATAGGAAATGTTTGAATTCTCCATAGGATTTCCTATGGGAAATTGTTCACACATGAAACTATCATGGAATTGTTCACACATGAAACTATCATTGTTGATTAATTGCAGAATATTCCTATCAAACGTACATTTAATAATTAGCGCAAGTGATTAAATTGAATGATTGGAGAGTAATCGACCAGAATGGAGTACATAAAACGAAAAAAATATACAGTAAATGTTGCGAATGAAAGTCTGAAGGAAGCTTACCCCCACGATGTTCAACTGTACCATTACGTACCCGTGGGTCTCGTCAACTTCACCGAATTCAAAGAGCTGGGGATGGAAAGAAGGGAGATCCTCAAGATGATCGAGTTGATCATGAACAGGACAGACGTCAAGACTGTTGAAGAGCGCAAGGCTGCACTGACAGCTGCTCTGAGAAAGGATGGTTATCATCATGCGACGAAGTTGTTGAATGGCGCTGGCTGTGCTTCACACACTGATGTGGAGCTGGAGGCGAGACGAAGGGATGCTATTTCTCACATGATTGCTAGGGTTGCCTACTCACAAACTCCTGAGTTCAAGCGGTGGTTCATTACTATGGAGGCTGAGTACATGAAACTCAGGCTGTCTTCGCTGAATAAAGAGGGAATGACTCAACTGTTTGCTATCAATAATTTCCAGTATGAGATTGTAAGATCTGAGAACATTTTTAATATTTTGCTTCCAATTGGAAACATTGTAATCGTTGAAATTCAAGTTTTGGATTTTTTGTGTTATACCAACTGTTTATGGTAAGGGGGCATCCATAAATCACGTGGTCCAATTTTGGCTCATTTGTGACCCTCTCCCCCC